TGACCAGTACACTTGGGCCATTGGGACTAAGAACTCGATGAGACTAGTGGAAATCTCTCAACCAATCACTTACCTAAGAAACCTACATGGATGAAGGTTTGAAGATTGGTGACATGAAACCATGGATCTACGTGTCACACCCAACCTCATGCATTATACTAGAATTCCATCGGTGAACCGAGAGTTTTTCTTTTGCAAGAGAGCTTAGCATGGAGTAGGACGTGTGTTGATTGTCATTTTATTTTGCCTTTTTTTCTCTTGTATTTTTTATATATTATGTTACTTAAAAGACAAAAAAAAAGAAAACTCATTTAAAACTTTTCTTTTCTTCCAAACACATTTTTATCAAATAAAGTGATTAATATGAGCATGTTTTCCCTTACTTTTTCAAATGTTTTGTAAATATCTTTTTTATTTCATTTTATATTTTTCACAATGAAGGTCCATTCGTTCTTTTTCTTACAACATTTGTCATTGCATTTTGTATTCCTTCGACTTAGTCAACCATAAAAGCATTGGTAACTTCTCTAACCTCAACCCCTTGACCGATCCATCAGTTAACCATACCTAGCACCCCTAGCTAGACTATTTTCATCCTAATTGCAACTGGAGCTTAATAAGTTAATACCCATCATAGTTAGCTTCTTAGCTCTCATTTTTTCATTACCACCTCAAACTCAACCCTTAGATAACCAACACATAGCAGCCTAGCCTATCCATAGTTGGCTAGTCCCTTCCCAACTTCATGCATGTTTTTTATCAGTTTAGGTTTTGACTTCAGTTGGTGTCAATACCGAAATTTTGTTCGCCCCCCTCTATCCACTTCTCGCACTCTGGATACCTGATTAGACCTTTTCATTCATTTTAGAATATGTTAAAACTCCAAGAAACCAAATCTTGCCTCATATACCCTCAAATCCACCGTCGAATCCACAAGATTCCCTTCTACTAATCACAATTGTGCCACCTCACCACACTGTCATACAATCAGACTCTCACATGAAGTAAAACCTTTAAACAACCAGCTATGCCAAATTTCGGCCTTAAAATCCTCCAAATCCTTTTTAAATGAACAAGAACATGCTCAAAACCTTGATCTAAACCAATCCACAACTTTGATCGAAGATCCATCACTCCCATATAATTTGGAATGTTCAAATATACTTACCATCCAAAAGTTCATCTAAAAAATTCCACGTTTGACCTTCCATCGAGTAAAGATTCTATTTTAGCAAATCTCATTAATCCAAACTTGTCAACCATTGATCTCCATCATCCTAATCCCATTTGACCAATCAGACCTCACTACTATGATCAAAGACTCAAAAAACCCCAATACACCAATTTTCATACTGAATTTACCTGTTTGACCATTAAACTAGAAAGATGTCATTTCGCGGATAAAATCGCCCCTTTATATGTGCCACCCTAAGACCACAAAGGAGAAAGGGCCAATGTCATCCCTTCACTTAATCCCTCCCTAGCCTATTAGACTAATTAGGATAAGCCAAGTATACCAAAATAACCCCAAAACTCCAAAATAACCCCTCTTGACACTAGAAATTAACATAAGAGCCATTATGGTAACTTCAAATTTACGTTTCCTGCCACTAAGATGTCAGATTCAAACTTAACATGAACAAATTTGAAAACAACACCATTGGGCATGACAAAACCAAAGGAAATCATGAGAACCTCAGATTGACTGATTGAACCCCTGGAAATCTTCTGAAAAAGCTTGTTAAATTGAAATTTTGGGGTTTCTTTGCATGCTCAAGCATATCTAAAGCCTTGAATACATGGTGAGTTGTCTCAGACTTGCAAGGAAAACCTAGAGGAAAGAACGAAGAACTTGTGAAGGGTAAAGCCATTCTCAAATCTTCAATCCTACTCCTCAAGAAGTGGTTGCATGATCTTCCTTTGTTTAGAAATACATGGTGGTGATCGGGGCAACTCCACTGATTTGCTGCAAGAAACAAGTGGCTAAAGTTCATATTGCCGTAGTATGGAGGATGCACTTGGGAATCTTGCCATGAAAAACTAAACAAAAAGGAAAACCATGATCGAAAAATGTGAGGGAATAGGAAGAAAGAAAAGGTAAAAAGGAAAAAAGAGAAAAAAAAAATAGCAAGATAGAAAGATAATGATCAATTGAGCAAATATTGTTTTGCTATATTGCAATATTTGATATGTGGCTTCTCGATCAAAGGCTTGAAACAAGGGTTTCAGAAAGAACAAGCACACCATTGACAGCACAATCTAACACTAAAGAATTCGACTCCCGCAATGTTAGCCTTCAATGTTGATAACACTAAAGAAAAGAGAAAAAAATAGCAAGATAGAAAGATAATGATCAATTGAGCAAATATTGTTTTGCTATATTGCAATATTTGATATGTGGTTTCTCGATCAAAGGCATGAAACACCATTGACAAGGCAATCTAACACTAAAGAATTCGACTCCCGCAATGCTAGCCTTCAATGTTGATAACACTACAGCCATGGGTAGGGGTGATCATGGGCCGGTCTAAGTCAGGCCTGGTTGGGCTTAACACCAATGATAAGGGCATTAAGCTAGGACAGACTCAACCTGATGCTTTGGGCTCATGACATCAAACAATAAAAATTTAATTATTTAAGTTTTTCAATTTAAATTGCATGCAAATGTAATAATACAAAAAATATTACACAAGCCAAAGCTAAAATGGGCTTGCTAGGCTTTAGGCCTATAGCATAAAAATATCATTTAATTGTTAGGCTTGATTTAGCTTGGGTTACTATCCTTTTATAAATGAAGGCAACATTCTTGAGAAATGTAGAACTTTGAACAACACTAAATAGTTGGTGCAACCATCGAGTATTTTCTCAAGTCCCACATTGCTCAGGGAATGAGAATGAAGGCTTTGTTTTCATCTATATAAAGCCTTATTTAGGAGAACAGTTTTAATACTTGAATTGACTCAAGTGTTGCCATATGTGCGAACACATCTCAATTCATAAATATTTATTTATATGCTAAAATAAAGCTTAAAACTTTTATGTTTATATTTTTTATATAAAATAATAAACATTTAATATAAAATAAAGTATACTTGTGTAAATATAACATATAAAATATAATACACATTAGGGTAAAAGACTTAAACCTCCCCTGTCAGAATAAGATTCCATTAAATTTAACATAAACAATAAAAGACTCTTTTATCCTTCATTATTCTCTAAATTTAAAAAACCACCCAAACTAGCAAATAAAGAATTACTATTGTCTTCTTTCCTAGAAGGGTAACTATTATATCGGTATGATGTACAAATCCATCTCTTAACCTTTTGTTAGAATCATTCAAGTTCTCAATCCTAGTACGTTCAACCCATTCATGATTCAACCACAAACTTATTTATTTATTTATTTTGGGTAATGATTCAACTACTGGCATAGAAACCCTCTGGATTGCCCACAAAATGAAGCAGTTAGATTAAGAACTCAGTGCAAGCAACCTCCAAAATAGTGGTGTACAGCCATTCTATCAACAAGCCAGATGCAATCATATCTGACCAATAGACAAGGCCCAACCCAAATGAGCAAAGTGGCAATACCTTATGGTGGTGTTGTTGGTGAGAGGCAGTCGTTTGTGGATTGTAGACGTTAGTGGTTGGGTTGTACAGGGAGTGCAGACCTCTATCACGTTTTTGGGTATGTGATACATTGACACACTCAAAACAGGGCAATGGACAACAATGGACAGAATTGGGTTTTAGGAAAAAAAATAACTCCCACATAATGTCTACTGCTAAGGGATTTGGACGGAATACTATCATAGGGAAGCTTTTGTCTTATGACGTCACAAGGCATGGGAGGTCTTAGTCCAATTTGAAGGAGGGGATGTTTTTACCCTACAATATTATTATATATAAAAATATGTATATTATATATATATATATATATATATATTGCATGTCAGGTCCCCCCTATGGGTCAATTAATTGTTGATCCCCATACGGACACAAGGCCTCTATTTAGAATATTATCTTCATTAACCATTATTCTAAAATTTTCTTATTAATGATCCTTCTTGAATTTTAAAAATCATAAAAAATAATAAACTGAATTTAAGTCTGGTCAACCACGTTTGACCATCATAAATCATACTTAATTGTTACAATTCCATAGTCAGCCATCGTAAACCTCTCAATGTTAGAAACTGATACATAACGATACCAAGTGTATCAAATGTTAGAAACCGATACATACATGGCCATTTCAATTTTGACATTATCAATTAATGCTGTTAGAAGTTTTATGCATGGCTGCTAAAACTCGAACACAAATCAGTCAGAGGAAATAGAATGATTCTTTCACTAAGCTGTAAGGCTGCAATTTGTTGAAATAACATGTATTTTAACTTTCTACGACATTTTATCAATCAACTTCGCACAAACTATTGAAACTTTCTTATGTCTATCTTTGTATTTATTACTTCATCATTTCAGACAGATTTAGTTTTATTGATATTCTTGAGAACTGTTTAAACTTTAAAGTGTATCCACGCATACCCAAGGCCTATCCAAATGTATTTTAAAATTGTCTTCTCCTAAACTGAGTTTTTGATACTCCAAACCTTGGGCAATAGATGCTCGGAGTTCAGGTTCTATGGGTCCACTTCTGATGCAAGGAGTAATATTAATTCTTTTACCATTTTCCAATGTTTCCTTGGCATATCCAAATGGTTACACTTCACATAAACTATTAAAACTGTTTCTTATGTCCATATTTAATCATTTCAGACATAGATTCAGTTCTATTGATATTCTTGAATTTATTTGAGTTCTTAAGTTTTTCCATGTATACCCAAGGTGTATCCTATACTCTGCCTTTCTAATACTCCAAACCTTGTGCAATAGATGCTCGGTGTTCAGATTCTGAGTCCAATTCTGATGCAAGGAGTCTCCTAGCACCATCTTTAATTTCATTCTAAAACCTGAATGCTCCACAAGGCATTAAATAAATGATTGTAACTCCAGACCAGATATATGACTTTATATATCTGAACTCTAAATGCACTGCACCAACCAAGCTTACCAGCATATCCCTTAGTACAGCAAGGAGCTACAAAACAAGGTTCCCTGAAGGGCTTCTTAAGGATAGACCTTAGGGTAGCTGCAGACAGTAAACTATCATGAATAATAGATTAGGAAGGAAAATAAAGGAACTCATTCTGTACAAACTAGATGACAGCATTCCTTTGCTGAACTCTAGCTTTCTCTGCATCAATGATGGACTCCACCATTTTAACAGAACTCTCAAGTTTCCCCTCTTCATTCACAACCACATAGTCAAATTCCTTTAGATGTTTGATCTCCTCACGGGCTGTAGCAATCCTGACAAGAAGTCTGTCTATGGTCTCTGTCTTACGATCAATAAGTCGCTTCACAAGGGCTTCCTCATTCTCTGCAAGAAGGAAAATGAAGATAGCAGAGTCTCCAAGGATAGACCTCAATGTAGCTGCCCCTTGTATGTCCACCCTCAGAACAATGTCAAATCCCTTCGACATGAAATCATGAATCTGGATACCAAGACAAAAGGCCTACGTTACCAAATTATATAAAAACCTGGTTTGTTTCTCCAAATGCCTAATAATCAACAGAAATACATGCAGAAACCTGCATAGGTGTGAATCAACCATTTAGAGGGTCCCACTAAAAAATGTATATACTAGGACAGAAAGGATCAGATCAATCATAACTCTAAAAAGTTTATATTCATGGATCTTCATTTTAATGAATCAGAAAATACCCCCAGCTGTCAAAAGTTGTGAATCTATACCTACCTTCTGAATTAGGAACAGAGACTCCCACCCTTTTCTATACATGTCTCCTAAAAAGGGATGCAAAAAATAAGCATTGTAATAATACCACAAGGCTAAACTACACTATGTTTTGTTTCCAAATGAAAAACTCAAATGCAAATTAATATGATACAGTGGTACACAAGTACCTGTTGCTTTGGGATCCCTTTATATTCGCCGTAAACAAGAGCATATTCTAAGAGTTCATTCCTCTCAATCATTGAAAGAAACTGCTCTTTTGTAACAAAGTAGTAATCTTTTCCATCCACTTCACCCGGTCGCTTTTCTCGGCTTGTTGCTGTGACAACAAAGTGAATGCCATGCCGAACTTGCTGTAGCCTCTGTCATAAGACCACTAATTAATAAAAGATTGGGAATCCTTGGAAACTATGGTCTTCCCAACTCTTTAAAACAATAACATAAAAAAGGCCATTACCCAATGGTGATCTAAGCAATCCAAGGTCTTTGTAGGGGTGGACTGGGTACCATTCCTATCCTCCAGCATTTTTATTTATTTATTTTTTCATGAAGTGGCTCCACCAAGGCTCAAACCAGCATTCCCATGCTTGTTGGCACAAGCAAAAAACCCTTCAAAAATATACATGCACATACCCAGAAAAAAGAAAAAAAAAACTCCTAAGCTACTATGTAGTCATACCTTTATTTAACTAGGAAAGTTACCAAGTAGACATCTAAACACAATGCCATTATAGCTGGCACCACAACCTGGAGACTGATGGTGCAAGTTGAGATGCTTCACAATGGTCATGACCTAATTGGCTATTGTGGTTAAAGATGTCAATAATAATCAATGTTTCCTAAAAGGGAGTGTATGGCCTTATATTATGTACATCAAATTGAAAGAGCAGCTTTGGAGAATGGTAAAGTATTAACTGGCAAGAATGGGAATACAGGTTTGAGTCTGAGAGTGGTGTGAAAAAAATGCCAAAGGCCATTTGATGACAGCTGGAATGGCTGAACTGAAAAGCTTATTGCTTTGTCCTTTAATGAATAAGTTTTCAAAGGTAGTAGGCTCCTTTAATGACTGAAGCTAAAGTTCAGTAGATTACTATGTCCTTGAATATTTAATCATTTAATTATTTTATCCAATAAAAGACAAAGCTACAAGTCATTAAATTCAGCAATTTCGGCTGTTACCAAACGGCCCCCACGTCAATATCCATCCAGTTCACCCCTCTCAAGACCCGAGATAACTGGACAAATATTGCATGAAGACCCTTTGAGGTGTAAAAATTGAAACAACAAAGAAAATAAAAGTGATACCTTGATGACAGCATCTTTACCAACACCACTTGGTCCGCTGATGACAATAATCAGAGGGTTTGGGGTTGGTGATAGAGGCTCCAAACTAAAGGATGAACCCAATGCAGCTTCAACCTCCCTTAACAAATCAGCCTACCAAGGCACCCAAAAGGAATGTTGACATGACAAATATAGATGCTATACTTTTTTTTTATGGAAAAAAAAAATCAAATGCATATACAAGATGCTATACATTACAATCATTTACTACATTGTAAACCTATTTTGAATGAATCAACAGTTAACAAATACTTGAATTTTTCAGAATTTGTTTCAAGAATTAATGCATGTACAAATGCTCAATTCAGGTAAAAACTCACAGGGTACATTACAGAGAACTTTGTACTTTGGACAGTATGACACTTGCCCCCTGTACTTTTCTCTTTTATGAAACTTACCCCTGTACCTTCATATAATGTTCAAACCCCGTGAAAGTGTGTACAGTGAGTTGGCAATTGGCAATTAACCGAATTGCCAACAAACATTTCCTATGCATTTTGGAGGGAGGAGGCATTGGTTATAGTAATGGAGGTGGTTATACAGGCTAATATGAGTAAGGAGAAGCTAGAAACAGGATAGGACAATAAAGAGTCAATGGTAAGGGCAATGATAGAGGCAGACATAGACCTAGAGGTGAGTAGTTGGACATGACAGAGATGGTGCCGATGAGAATGGTCAAGGCAGAGGTGAAGAAGAAGATTAAGCAGATGGTTGTCTGTGGACAATAGTAGTGCTGGAGGATATGAGGGAGGTGACAATGTTGGGGATAACAGTGGTAGAAAAGGTGGTGGAGTGAGTGAAATATTGATGGATCATTTGGATATCGCAGATTAGTTGACTACTCTTATGAGGCCATTTTTATGGCTAAGATTGGAGGAAGTGGTAAAGGCAAGTGAAATGATGAAGTAACGAGTAAACCAGTGTGAAAGCAGTGGTGTAGAGAAAATTAAATTGGTCATTGTTGGCAAAAGATTTTTGCTGAGGATGTAAAGGATCAATTATCAAGCATCCTAGCTTTTTCCCATTCTTTTTTTTTTTTTTTTAATCTCTGAAATCTAACAGAAAATCTGATTCGTGAACCCCCCCCCAAATAAAAGTTGGAACACAATCAAACAAAGATTGGTTAAGTTTAAGACCCTATAGATATTTTCATGTCATTCATTTTTATATATCCCAAGACAATTCATGGATCAAAAGTTATGGTCTTTTGTATTTGGAGACCTAATAATACCATATTTTTCAAAGAATTGCCTAGGCAACTAGGAGCCCTTGGCTAGGCACCTCACCTAAATGCCTTGACTTATAGCAACAAGGTGCCCATCTAGGCAACTATGCACCTGCCTAGGCAATAAAAGTAACACAGTTACCTTATTATAATATCATTCATGTTGCTACATCTTATTAATATGTGTAAAGCATTCTATTATCATACTATATATACAATTCATACTTTTTTTTTTTGTTTTCTACTCCCTCCCTCCCATGTCTACATTAAATAAAACAGCAGTTCCACCCGTGTTCTTTTTCTCTTTAAATTGCTCTATATCTTACAATTTATCATCTAAAATTATAGCCTTTGTTAGTCGTCAATTTGATATGAAGCTGATCTATTAAATCCTTATTATCCTTTCCTCACACATTAAATAAAACAGCAGAACCCTTGTTCTTTTTCTCTTTAAATCGCTCTCTATCTTAAAATTTATCATATAAAATTATAGCCTTTGTTAGTTGTTAATTTGACATGAAACTGATCTATTAAATCATTATAATAGTACTATTTTTAAAGCATTAAAATTAATATATCCATAAAAAAAAAAGTGTTGAGATTAATATATTTGAAATATCATTGTCCTAGATATGATGATCTGCCATGTATTGAGAAGAAATTTAATGCTTTAAATAAAGAGAATTGTTATCTTTAAAATTAAAATGCATGTTCAATAGTATATAAAACTATGGTAAAAGTCAAATTTTAGTTTTTTATTTTGTGAAATTTTATTGCCTAGGGCATACACCTCTTGAATTGAAGGCAACTCTTTACTTCCTAAAATTTAAACTCTAAGAGGTTCATGTACAGGGTTTAGTCCCAATAAGAAGGCAAAGACCTGTTGCTAAGAAACCAACTTCTTATGGGCTTTAGCATCACCATTATGTTTCCATTCTATAGCCTGATAGTGGTCCAATTCCTTCCATACTGAGATAAGGGCTGAATAATAGGCTGACAAACTACGGTTCCCCTATTTACAAGTTGAGGATTCAGCTTGTAACTAATAAATCTTGGCATAGTGCCTTTGCTCAGAATAGGTGGTTTTGGCATGTTCCCATATCTCACTACTGTCCACATCAGTTTCCATGGTTGCTAGAAGCCAAGACATCACCATACTATTTTCTTGGTCCCACCTATCATGTTCAACTGTCACATTCTTGGGTTCTTTCACTCTTCCATTTATGTAACCAGTTTTTCCATTGGTTGTTACATAAAAATTTACACCTTTAGCCCACTCCAAGTAGTTCAGGCTGTTTAAAGGGGTAATTGGCATAGAAAATTGAGACTCTTGTAAAAAATGATAATTGGAAATTAGTGGATCAATCAAAAGGGAAGAAACCTATTATGTGTAGAAGTGTAATTACAGTAAAATACAATGCAAATGGTTCAGTTGAAAGACACAAGGCTCGACTAGTTGCAAAGAGGTACACGTAAACTTATGGTGTTGATTACATGGAGACATTTACACAAATCACCAAGATGAACACCATCAAAGTTTTGTTGTCACTTGCTGCAAATTTCTCATGGCCATTATTCCAAATGGATGTTAACAAAGCTTTGTATGGTCTAAAGCAATCTCCAAGAGCATGGTATGACAAATTTAAACCAGCCTTGGGAAATTTTGGCTATGTACAAGCCCAGTCTGATCACTCTTTTTATCAAGAAACCAATTCAGCCTTGACTCTTTTGGTTGTGTATATTGATGATATTGTTGTGACAGGGAATGATATTGATGAGATTAATTCACTTAAGTGGTTACTCAAGCAGGAGTTCGAAGTGAAGGATCTAGGTGAAGGTATTTCTCAAGAATTGAAGTTGTTAGATCCAAGCATGGTATTTTTCATCTTCCAGAGGAAATATGTCCATGATCTCCTAGAGGAAATTGGAAGGTTAGGGATTAAACCTGCACACACCCATTGAGCAAAATCATAAGATAAATGCAAAAAAAGGTAAGCCTCTTGAAGATAAAGGTATGTATCAATGGTTAGTGGGAAAGCTTCTGTAACTTTGTCTAACACATCCTGGCATTTCCAATGCCATCAGCGTTGTTAGTCAGTATATGCACTCACCTAGGATAGCTCATCTTCTAGTTGTTGAAAGAATTCTGGCCTACTTGAAGAGGTGTCCAGGCCGAGGTATACTCTTCAAGAATAATGGTCATATGAAGATAGAAGTGTACATTGATGCAGATTGAACAAGGTGTGTTGATTATAGGAGATCCACTTCAGGGTATTGGCTCTTGTTGGAGGAAACCTTGTTTCTTGGAGTAAGAAATAAATGTTGTTACTCGCTCCAATGCTAAAGTAGAGTACTAGTCTATGGCTAATGGTGAAGCTAAAGTGTTATGTCTGAAATCCTTATTTGAAAAATTGGGCATTGAGTATGAAAAACCCTTGATGTTGTACTATGATAACCAAGTTGCCATTGGCATTGCTCATAACCTAATACAACATGATAGAACAAAACATATTGAAATGAATCAACATTTCATCAGAGAGAAAGTAGCTCCCCAAGATGTTTGCCTTCCTTATGTAGCCTTTGATATGCAACTTATTGATCTCTTCACCAAAGCAGTTGCCAAAATCAAGCTAGAGACAAATTTACACAAGTTGGGAATGATAAATATCCCAACTTGAAGGGGTGTATAGAGATGCAATAAATTAGTTCGTGGTCCCATTGGTTATTATTTCTTATTGTCTTGTTATTTTGTATTAGACTGTTCCTTGTTTTTCTTTCTTACTAGGCGGTGGGGGTATTAGATTTTAAGTGATTAATATAAATTGTCTTTAGGATGGCAAGATAGTTAGATTTTCTGTACCCCTTTTTTTCTCATTCTTCGTGTCTTCTACCATCTTCTTCTCCTTCCCTTTTGTTTTCTCTCTTCTTTTTTTTTTGATGAATAATAGTAAGTTTATTGATTCAGAAGCAAATTAGAGTGAGTTCATACATCATCCCAGTGAGAGGCGCGAGCTGCAGCCCCTCCTTGAAACTTACAAGTAAACTAGGAAAGAAAAACAAGAATCACAACTGAGCCCAAAAT